TCTAGTAGATCCATCTGCACTATCGAAGCCTTGCCATGCCTTGGAGACAGTCTCTGTCTCACGTTCCACGGGTTCGTTTCTGCGCAAGAGTCAGAGCCAGACGTACTCACCGACGCAAGCAAGGCGAATCAAACATATACAGGATTTCTTGACCTGTGACTGCCCGAACATTCACTGATGACCTTTCTTCTTCCAAGCTCTGGACCTGCCACTGTCCATTGACATCTGGGTTGTTGCGCGTCCGCGCCTCCAGGAATAAAGTTTCCAGTGCTCTCGCATTCAGGTCTGGCGGGTTGTGACGGATATACTGACAAATATTCCGCAAGTACTGGCGGGCCACATACAAAAAAAGAGACAAGCTCTCAGCCAGCGACGTCACCAGTGTATCGCATCCACGACCTGGAAAACAATGAACTAAACATTCACTTGGTGCGGAATAGAAAGGAGCGTCAAGAGTCAGCTTCATCATCACATCACAACTACATCAACGATCGACGCGTCGCACAGATCACATCTGAGCCAGTGACCTGACCGATCTTCAGCACCAAAGACCTGCGAAAGGATTTCATAAACGTCTGCTTTACCCTGGCTGGACAAGGGCAACCAGCGTGCTGGCTTACCCATTTCAACTATGAGGCCAGCCAGCGTGCTGGCTTTGCCATCTCAACAATGGCAGCCAGCGTGCTGGCTTACCCACTTCAACTATGATGGCAGCCAGCGTGCTGGCTTACCCACTTCAACTATGATGGTAGCCAGCGTGCTGGCTTTCCATCTGGACAGTGGCACCCAGCAAGCTGGCTTCCACTGCCTGTTGTCACAGGCACGTGTTGAGTTTAGGACAAAAGCGCTGAAGCAAACTTTTTCCACGAGCGGTTCCATAGTTTTGGGAGAGTCTTCCCCCCCTGCAGGGACCACCGTTTGGGTTGCCGGCGACGTTGGTGTTGGAGTCTCAAACACTGTCGGATTGCTGTCTGTGCTGTCCTCTTCCTGAACGTCGTCGGCGTCCTTCTTCTTGCTAGCACTTGTCGTGTTCTCCTTCTCCTTGTTTGCTTCTTTTCTGCTCTCCTCATCCCCCTCCTTTGGAGCTTTGCTGGAACTAGACCGCCTTGGCCTTGTTCCTTTTACCTTCTTTTTCTCTTTCTTTTTATTCTTGTCCTTTTTCTTCTCTTTCTTTTTTGCTTCTACCTCCTCCACGACCTTTTTCTTGACCTTCTCCTTCAGGTCCAGCTCGACATCTGCCTCTGGAACTTGGTAAGGGTCAGCCGTCGCTTGTCCAAGTTCTGCTTGCAACCGTTTTCTCAAGTGTCTGGCTCTTTCTCGCTCGTTCTTCAGGTCCTTGATGTGTCTCAGCTGGACCTCCCTTTGGTTTGTTGAATCTGGAATCCACTTTTCAGGCCGTGGTGCTCTTGTCCCAGAGCTGCTTGAGGGCGCCGACATTGCGCATTGCAAGGCAAGACTAAGAGAAAATGAAAGAACTATGTTCGAGGTGTAGCTTCATCGATTCCACAGCAAAGATCGAAGCGTCGAAAACATATCCGAGCCTGCGCAAGGCCTATGTCGCTGTTGTAACGGTCGCGTAGCTAGCTAGAAGTGGGACAGCATATGTTCTATAGTAGGCCCATCCTGTTACCCACCACGACGCGTCCGTAAAACGACGTCAACGTCGAGGGCCGTGTGTCTTGATGCTATTGTTGTTCGCCATGACTTGGAGACAGTCTCCGTCTCACGTTCCACGGGTTCGTTTCTGCGCAGTGGTCAGAGCCAGACCTACTCACCGATGCAAGGCGAATCAAAGATATACAGGATCTCTTGACCTGTGACTGCCAGAACATGCACTGATGACCTTTCTTCTTCCAAGCTCTGGACCTGTCACTGTCCATTGACATCTGGGTTGTTGCGCGTCCGCGCCTCCAGGAATAAAGTTTCCAATGCTCTGGGCTGCGACGGATATAATGGAAAATATTCCGAAAGTACTGGCCACGCACAAAAAAAGAGACAAGCTCTCAGCCAGCGACGTCACCAGTGGGAAATTATGAACTAAACATTCACTTGGTGCGTCAAGAGTCAGCTTCATCATCACATCACAACTACATCAACGATCGACGCGTCGCACAGATAACGTCTGAGCCAGTGACCTGACCGATCTTCAGCACCAAAGACCTGCGAAAGGATAAGATAAAAGTCTGCTTTATCCTGGCTTTGCCACCTATCTATACATACATATAAACATCTATATAAGGATAGTATGGCAGCCAGCGTGCTGGCTTTGCCATCTAGATTATGGGAGCCAGCTCACTGGCTTTCCCACTCCACTATGATGGCAGCCAGCGTGCTGGCTCATACCCACTTCAACTATGATGGCAGCCAGCGTGCTGGCTTTGCCATCTCAACAATGGCAGCCAGCGTGCTGGCTAACCCACTTCAACTATGATGGCAGCCAGCGTGCTGGCTTTGCCATCTCAACAATGGCAGCCAGCGCGCTGGCTTACCCACTTCAACTATGATGGCAGCCAGCGTGCTGGCTTTGCCATCTCAACAATGGCAGCCAGCGTGCTGGCTTACCCACTTCAACTATGATGGCAGCCAGCGTGCTGGCTTTGCCATCTCAACAATGGCAGCCAGCGTGCTGGCTTACCCACCTCAACTATGATGGTAGCCAGCGTGCTGGCTTTCCATCTGACACAGCAGCAGCCAGCAAGCTGGCTTCCACTGCCTGTTGTCACAGGCACGTGTTGAGTTTGTCCCAGAGCTACTTCAGGGCGCTGACATTGCGCATCGCAATGCGAGACTAAGAGAAAATCAAAGAACTATGTTCGAGGTGTAGCTTCATCAATTCCACAGCAAAGATCGAAGCATCGAAAACATATCCGAGCCTGCGCGAGACCTATGTCGCTGTTGCGACGGTCGCGTGGCTAGGCCAGAGGGTTAGCTTGAACCATCATGCATGACTCCAGGCTATGTCTTCTGTTATGAATATCACACAGCGTTCTTCTGATGCGCAAGTAAGAAACAACTGAACAGCGCCTGCAACGCTCGCGTGGCTAGGCCAGAGGATCAGCTTGAACCGTCATGCGTGACTGCAAGCTACGTCTTCTGTTGTGAAAATCACACAGTGTTCTTCGGATGTCCAAGAAAGAAACAAGTGAACAACGCATGCGCTGCTTACCTTTCGCCGAGCAAGCTTTGAACCTCTCTCACGTCCCTGTGAGCTCGGTAGCACAGCGTTCACCCCCCAAAGCACTTGCGCAGAACCACGTCCATTCTTCGAGAGGTACTTGTGTCCCACCTCGACTGAAGACTGAGAGGCGTGTGACAAAGAACGAGATTCCTTCTGGTCGATCTTGCGAGCGATATATATTTCTTCTTTTTGGGATCCCGGACCGAGCTGAGACGTTGCATCCACTCCCCATAAACCTTGTCCAACATGCCAAAACCATAACAGAGCAGCAGAAGACTCCCCAGGACTACTGCGAAAAGAAGTTTTCATGATATTATAGATCTGAAGCTTGTGCGTCGTCTTCGTGATCCCGTGCCTCGCTGAGACGTTGCGTCCGCCCCTCCGAGAAATTCCGCAGAAAGACGTCTATTCCCTGAGAGGTAATTGCATCGGACCTGGCTCAACAAACAAAATAAAGAAAGCACTCCCCGGTACGAATGTCAAAGATCTAAAGCTGAATATCAAAGATCTAAAGCTGAATTATTCCTTTTGCCTTCCATGCCTCGCTGAGGCCTTCTGTCCACCCGCACAAAGAAGTTCCACAGAATGACTTCCCATCCCTGAGCGACCGTTGCGTCGGAAATGCTCCAGACTGCACAGCAACACGCGACACGAAACCAGAGCACTCCCCAACACTATAGCAAAAAGATACTTTCTTCACGCTGTCACTGATCTCCAGCTTATCTAGTCTCTCTGGGATCCCGGACCTCGCTGAGGCGTTGCGTCCACCCCCCCAAAGAAATTCCGCAGAATAACGTCCATTCCCTGAAAGGCAATTGCATCGGACCTCGACCAACGTGGAAAACAAA